ATTGGTTAGCCAAATATAGATTCAATTTAGCATATTTTTATTTTGCGTTATTGCGTATTGCTGTTTATTTTTTGTCTTCACATTTTTATATATATATTTTTTACGCCTGTACGTAATCAGTTTTTTCTGTAGTGAGCCAAAGTAAAATATTTTCTTGAATTTTCTTTCAACAAGAACGAAAATCAAGACACGACAGACAAAGTTATGGAAGGTCTGCTACAGTATCGACAATAATGTTCCCGTTTTCTCTTTTTTCAGAAAAAAATGTTGTGTATTCGTTTCAACATATTTTCTTCCTATAACTTCATTTGTTGACGGTTGGGTTGTGTGTTCTATACAACAATAAGGTTGCTGAAGTTACAAGATTGGTCTGAGTACACAAGAAAGGGGTAGGAGTTAAGTCTGTCGGATGTTGAAACCTATCCCAAAGAGGAAAGAAATTAGGTGAAAATGGATAAAAAATGAATTACAAATTTACGTTTATATATTGGTAATTTTAACTAAGTATTCGAGAATTTGTAATTTTATTGCATGTATGGGCAGTTTCACGTTAATACAAATATTTCCATGCATATTTCTATTTTTTAGTGCATGAAGTTAAAGTCAACTTTTAATTAATTCTTCGTACTGTATGATGGTACATATAGTAACAATCAGAGCTAGAATTACGATTGTCTCTGCAGTTACTCTGATCGGAACGTTTTAGAATTCTATCTAGCTAGTTTAGAAAATCCTGCCACCGATGGAACTCGAACCTAGGATCTCCTGGTTAGAGACACTTAACAGATTGATGCCCTGAACCACTTCTCTCTGTTCCCCACGGAAGAATACAGTCCTGTTTGCCCGAGCTAATGCATGCTATTCGACATAATCTGACCGCAGCTAGCTGGGTAACTTTTCACTAGGCAGTCGCTATCCTCTTCATTTTCCTTGAAGGATTGAAATCATAGAAGTGTGTGGGATTAAGAAAGTTGTTTAAGATGAGAGTACGGCGTTTGTATAAAAAAAGCCACCGGGAGAGGACGAGGCGTACATTATGTTGTCGATCTTCAATCAAAATATTGCATAAGAACTAAAAAGCGAATTCGAAGAAAGAGGAGAAATGTGGGTGAGAAAATTAAATATAAGACACTCAGACCCTAGAACAAGTTTTATCTTGTTGTGGAGTTGATTTGCGTGAACTTCATTCCTGTGTAAATACACACGATTCTGGTTTTGATGAATCAATGGAAACCTTCGTTTTAAATTCCTATGTTCCATTTGATACAATAAACGAGTTTCTCCATGAACGTTTATTTTTTAAGAGGATCAAGAAAATATTGAAACAAAGTGAATTCAAAATTTCAATATCTTAATTCGGACTTCAAATAATGTTTTTATTACCGTTAGCTGTATATAATTTTTCAATTAATAATGTACATCCTTCACTGTAGTCCCGATTTTCCCTCACATTTCATTTTACATTGACACCATCTAAAAATATCTTTGTGCAGTCTTTAAAACCTTGAATGACTCTTGCACCTGTAGAACACATTCTTTATTTGTGTCTTCTTTATCACCACACTCAGTTTGTTTTCTTTTCTAAATGACCCTTTCACTGCTTTCACTAAATGACGATACCAGTGTTGAGAGAATTGCCAAAGATGAGCGGAAACATTTCCCTTCGTTTTCATCGGTTGCATTCATTTGTCGTTAATATTTTTAAAAAATCATGAGATTTTTAGCCTCGACACTCCTAGATGATTGTTTTGCGACGTCTTAAAGTGAATTTTTTTCACCCGTAAGTTGTACTATGTTCATTGTATCTGATGTGGAAAATTCGCTCTAATCGAATCTCGTGTATTGAAAGTATTGTTGTATTGAATGTGAATCGGGACATGTGACTTGGGTTCACTATAATTGAACGTTCATCATATCCGTATTCACCATTTCCAGAGTTGTAAAAAATGGACAAGCAAAGTTTCAACTTCCTTTGGGAATAGAAGGAAATGAAATATCAAAAAGCATTAAGAGAGACGCTCTCTTTGCTCGGCTGATTTTGATAATTTATGGTAATTAAGGTTATGTAAAGCGACTGTCTTTTACGAGCTTCCACTGTGACAGTTGATCGGCATCTGTCTCCTGCCGGTCTCGAGAGTTGAAGAGCACCCAGTTAATGGCTCAGGAACACGCTATCTTATGACTTCATCCAAGTCATAGCGTTAACAAAGGGTCTCGTTCCTTCGACATGGCACATGCAATCTCCGTAGCTTTCCTCAAATTTCATAACTTACGGCAAGAATACCATTACTCCCCATTCCACAAAAGCACGGATCTCTTAAAACATCCATAAAATTACCCAGCCTCCTTCAAAAGAACTATATAGGTCTCGAGTTGTCGTTTCATATGGATACCTACTACATGCCTTTGATGTCTTGTGGCTTCAATCATTCATTGGCTTTCCAGAATATTTTAATTAAGTTTCTAATTGCACGCAAATACTGATTTGTGTTACTATGAACACCTCGGTAAATGTCCATCTCTCCCCGGTTTTCGTACAGTTTTTATTGATCCTGTGCTCAGATGGTCGCTTGCTTTGTTTGTAGACATAAACGTCTATCCATTATCTAAGCATGTTTTGTTGAGTTGTTTGTGCTGAAAGGAGTGGATTGGGGTAAGGTAATTATTTCGTCAAAATTTTCGGAAAATTAAATATGCTGTTCGTTTGGAGATGCAACTAGTTTTATATTGCCTTGGAGCAAAGTTTTGCCTTGGTTTTATTTGCCTTGGAGTTTTCCAATGTTATCTACCACGCTCCGTTACACTTTTTATTTGAAATTTTTAACTACGCACATTGAAAGAAGGGTTGTGATTTCGGAGCTTGAGAAAACGTGCGGATAATGTTATTCTGCCACGTACGTGTCAAACAGTTCTTAATTTCTCGACAAGGAACATTAATAAATTAATCATACTTATATCGTAAAACAATTAACGTTTCACTTCATAAGTTACTGATCGCATATCTAAAAATCTTGTATAGCTGTATGCTATATTATCATTCCACATTGCAAACTTCAAGGGTTGATACCAATTTATCAAAGGGTTTTGTATTCCAACTAACAATTTAATAATAAAACTTATGACAATATTTTAGTATCACATTAATTTACCTACTTGTATTTACATTTATAAAAAACAAAGCTTCTTACTTTGTCTCGGATGTTGGTGCATTATTGTCACCATATGATGTATTTACAAATACAGGTTATCGTACGTGGCATTTAAAATAGTTGTATGAACCATATAACGAAATAAAAACGCATTCGTTTCTATTACGTTTGCAGAAGAGCTCTAAACACGGTCCTCCTATTACATTTGTCATCACTATTCTGCAATGCTCTTTGAATTTTCAGGTGAATAGCAGCAAGGGGTGAACTATCACATTAGTTCTTACTTCACGCGACTGAAAAGTGCTTATTTCTTACAGTGTGAAAGTAGCTAAATACAGTCGTTGGGAAATTTCGGGCTCGTATTATAATAATTTCGTTTCAGGTTTGTACTGTTTATTATTGATATTACGGAACAAGTTTGGGTATTTAAATTTAATAACGTTAGTCCTAAAATATCGAACAAGGTGACTAAGGAGCTGAAATTATATTTCATCCTTTGCTGCAGTTTGTTCTTTTCGATTTCACACGTGTTTCATCAATCAGCTGCTTTATGAGGAGAAAAAACAACAGTGTACACTGTTGCATAGCCAATTACGGATGACAATTCTGAAGATGACTCGTGGAAGTCGAAATGGAGGCAAGGGTTTCGAAACGTATTTTGGAAAATTCTAATCAAGTCCTTGGTTTTTATCACAGAAATTGTAAGATCAGAATAAGAAAGTGAAAAGCCGAAGAGCAGTTTTTTGTCCACCTCTCTCAAAACTACCAATGACAATAAATTCAAAACCTTCAAAAGGCGCTTTTAATTTGAGACATCTAAGTAGCTACTGGAAAACTTAATTTCAGTTTACTTTAAAGGATTTCGTAAAATACTCAATAAGTAATTTGAGATGTCAAAATTCATACATCCCCTTCTATTTTTAATATTAACTCAACACCTGATAAAGATAACTTGATTATTTGAATTAGTGACCATTAGTTGTAGACATAGTAATATTAAAAATCATATACAAACAGTTCATTGATAACTTTTGTTTAAATACATTTAATTAAAAATAATATGAAGAAAGATGTCTGATGCAATTTGAATACCATTGTTAAACAGATAATATTTATCCTATTTGCAATTTATACAATATTTTGAATCCTATAGGTTCGGATTTTTTAGATACATTTTCTATAAATCTAACAAAAACAATAATTTAAAATATTACTTACAAAAACTATTAAAATAAAATTATTATTGAAACAGATCACCATTAATTCCAACTCCTTTTGTCGATAATTCTGTGGGGTGTATGACAGATGAGAAATTCACCCAACACTATCCACGACGTCCATTTAATGTAATGGTTGGTACACAACGGCTGCCTATGAGTAACTATTAATCGTAATATGTAACTGATATTCGTATTAAGAGAAGTGATGTCGTGCGTACGAGGCGATGTGCGGACGTGATGACGTAATGTGCTTGTGGACGATGATACGGTGGTCAGTAGTTAAAGCTAACACAAATAGTGTCACTACCTTAAGTAATAAAAATGTTCCCTAAAAATAGGCCCTCTTTAATCCTGCCCCGCCCGCGTTGCGGTCCCGAAAGTTACGCCACTGACGGTGGTGTGGTGTGTGGTGTGTGGTTGGTGCGTGGTGCTGGTGGTGGTGCTGGGCGTGTGCCGTGCGTGCGTTGGGCTTTGCGTGGTGCCGTGGTGTGTGCGTGCGTGGTGATCGGTGTGGTGCTGGTGCGTGGTGCGCTGTGGCGTGGTGCGTGATGTTGTGGTGTGTGTGTGTGGTGTGTGATGTGTGATGTGCTGACATGGAGGTGTTGGACGAGGTCGGTGTCGTGGTGCGCAGGATCGAGGTGAACGCCACCGCGCTGAGCTTCGTGGCGGGCCTGTCGGTGCCGCACCTCAGCTTCGTCAGCGACTACCAGGTCGACGGCCAGATCCTGGTGCTGCCCATCAAGGGCCGCGGGCAGCTCACCGCCAACGTCAGTAAGTCATCATTCCCGCGCGCGCTGACCTCCAGCTCCCACTAGGAGCGGGCGTTGCGCCGCTTCCTTTAACCTTCCGATAAACAAATGAAGGGGCAAGCACAACCTACCTCATCAACCTTTCCCCATAAAAATTTACTTAAAAATTAAGATCACCATTCCTAAGTTGTTAATGGTCTTTCATTCTTCCTCCATTTTATTACGCCATTTAAATATCCATCCAATTTAAGGTTCTAAAAGAGTTTTAATAACGAGAGTTGTTTCAATTCTCCTTTTGATTGTTATTTACCTAATAACGACTTTTCTTTAATTAAATTTTTTTGTGCATTGGGTATTTTTTGCTATTGTTGACTGTGAGATGCGAGTTAATTATTATAATCAAATATGCTACATTCAATAGTTTCATAAAACGACCGAGCTTACGAATACACTGCTCCAACCATTGACTGGCAAAACATTGCACGAAACAGGTTGACTCTCTTCAAGAGAAAAGAAGTGGTCATATGTTGTTTCCTGCATTAACTTGTCACCGGAGATTACTTTTCCCATGACAATTAAAATATGCCCAAGAGTGCAAGGAGAATTACAGTTTCCGTAGCTTTACGTTGTAAAACTTATAAATTCTTCTAATTACGATATATCATAATAAAATGAACAATATCATCGAAGAAAAGTGATACTATTTAAACAGCGTGAAATGAAATAAATTGTCAAAAAATTCTCCTCCTTTGATGAAATGAAATAAATTGTCAACTCCTTTTGTTGTTTGGTGCGCCATTAACATTTCTATCTACATCCTTTCTAAGGACTTAAGATCCCTTTGCTTGGATTCTTTCGCCCGGTTTCTGACGCTCATGGTATTGAAATCAATTTCGTTTGCAGGTGATGTCTCAGGTTCTCTTCACCTGCTCGGCAAAATCGTGAAAAGAAAAGGCGCGGAGTACCTGCAGTTCGTGGAAGGAGAGTTCAGATTGGAGTTGCTCTCTCCAGTGAAGATTCATCTGGACAACCTCTTCAACGGCGACAAAGCTCTAGGTAGGATTACCTCCTTTGTAGTGAATACATTAGCATCTGTTACCTTGTTTATTTCATTGCAACGGTTTTTATGGCTTTAATGAATCAGACTTGGTACTTTTTATAACAATTTATTGACTTTACGACTTAGGGTCTTTTTCAAAAATCTTCTGTTCAGGTTTGTTGACACAACATTATAAACAAACAGCATTTTGATAAAAAATATGAATTGTATAAAAAACTTAGTCAAGTCGTAAACTTCATTTCGAGACAACTTGAAGATCCGTCATTTCGAGATGTCTCACATTTTTATTAGGTGTATTCTGGTATTTATTTTAATTAATTTATTTTTTCCTGATTTATTTTTTCTTTCTTTATTTCTTTTTTCTTTTTTATTATTTATTTATTCTTTAATTGTTTTTATTTATTTGCTTGTTTATTTGTTTATTTTTATTAATATTTATTTATTTTTATTAATTTTCAATTAATTTACAATTAACAAAATTTCGTTATCCTATTCAATAATTCAAAAGACTGCATTTATCAACGAAGTCTCTGTTTTAAATTTTGTTTATCTTTACTCACTCTGGTCAGAAGAATATCTAGTTTATGGATCTCAAAATTATAAGTTTTTTAATTATGGTACATTTTCATTCAAAAATAAAATACAATGAAAAACATCCGCGTTAGAAAACATCATCTTCAAAAAATATTTGTTAAATACATCGATGATTTTATAAAAAACATCGATGTTTCGAAAATATCTACGCCGATGTAGCTTCGATGTAATGTGGAGAGGGTGGGTTCAGAGGAGCTCTTGTGCATCGTATCCGACTTTTGCCAATGAGCTTCAGACATCAGTTTGCGTCACACTGTTAGCGGAAATATTAAAAGCAGCCACATATCAAAAATTATCACCTCGTCATAAGACATTGAAATATATTTATGAATCATTTATTTTGAATTTGTAAACCTTCGTGTTATTTTTGGATGGTTACCGTTGAAAATTGTCACTTTCAAAATGTTTTGCTTTCAAAACACTTCTCGCTCTCCATGCACCATGGCGGTCAGCGTCTGGTCTGGCTTTTCACACGCAGTGCCCGTGCTGTGCTCCCGTCCCGTGGTTCGCGTCGCTCACTGGTGCAGTTGCGCCAGAGTAACTCTCCCATATCTTTCCACCGAGATGTGGAGGGTGGGCTGCGAGTGAAGGGCCGCGTGTGTGTTGCAGGAGAGGCGACGAACGCGGCGCTGAACGAGAACAGCGAGGAGCTGAAGGAGGTGGTGATTCCGGTGGCGGAGCGGGTGGTGGCGCAATTCGCTATCGACACGGCCAACAAGATCTCCTCCGTCTTCCCCTTCGACCAGCTCCTGCCCAAGAACTAACCTCTTCTACAGAGCTGCGATTCCACGCGCGCATTCAGCTGCGGTTATGAGGGCGTAGCTTCAACTGGCCGGTTGCATTTTCAGTTTTAACTGACACATGTGCACCGCGCAAACGTGCACTTTTAAATGACCAGTTGCAGCTGCAACATTTTTTTTGTAGATTCAAATGCCCAAGGACTAACGCTTTTCAGCTGCGCTTTTAACCGCACATTCTGTTGCGGTTATCACTGCGCAGTTTCAACTGTGCGGTTGCCATTGCAGTTTTCACTGAACTATGTGTGAACGTATCAGCTGCTAACCTTGCCACGTAACTGTGCACTTTCAAATGACCAGTTGCAACTCCAAAATTTCGTCTGTAGATTTAAGAGCAAACTCAACTAGTTTTATCAGCAGTTGAAAACGTAAATGATATGCCAAACCACTGTAGATTTAACTGCGCAGTTCCATCTGCAGTTTTAATACAGACAATTTCATATATAGTTTTAACTGAACTGTTAACTGCCAGTTACAACTCACAGTATCAATTGCACATTCAAATGCGTAGTTCCATTCCCAATAAAAGTTGAACGTACAACGCGGTTCACCACACCATGCAACTGTGCACTTGCAAGTGCCTGATGTGAGCTGCAATTTTAGCTGCATGGTTCCAAATTCGCAGTATTAATGCGAATAGACTGTTACAACTGCCCAAGTGGATTGCAGAACTGCATATGAGCGTAGGTGCAAAAAATTTGGGCAGATTTTGCAAGAATTCAGTTCCTCCGAGTAAAAAGGTAGAAGAATGCTACATAAACATTCCTTGCATTTGAACAGGGAAAATAAGACTGACAATTCAAATTATGGATTCGAAGTCAACAAAAGAATGGAGTAAAGAGTATTCATGGTTGCTAATGACCAAGAAGTTGAAAATATTTTTGGTTTAGAATTTTCTTAAAGAAAGAAGAAAATCTTATTACAACCAATAAAATAAAAAAAATCGATATTATGAGTTTCAAGAATCTATTTTTCCGCTTATTGCCTGTTATATTACAATTAAAACAAAATTATGTATTTTAAAATTTGAAGTGCTAGTTAATATTTTCTCAATAGATCGTTTAAAAGTGTGCATTTTGTCACATTACAGGATGTTTTCTATACACATTAATTTTACTTAATAAATTAGTTAAAAAATGAGCAAAAAGCATTTTTTCCTTTGCCTACGATAATATGACAGAGTAGTCATCTTAGTTCCAAAAATGATAGAGCCAGAATAGGCAAGCTTCGGCTACTTCTAGGAGACTTTAAAAGCATCATCGCAATTAAAAGGTTTACTGTGAATTCAGTGATATCCTTGAAAACCAATTTAAAAATTATCAATAAGGTGCAACTTCTTTCTTTAAACTTGTGATTTATCTTACCATAAAATGCTCTTTGTACGAAAATTTAAGAGTTTTCATAAATACTGACGTGTTATGCATTTACTCAATTACATAGTAAATCTAAATAAATCTCTATATCAAAGAATTTGAGAATTCTTTGAATTGTTTTTATGAACACTTAAGTACCTAGTACTTGTAGTTCTGAAAAGTGTAAATCATAATTATTTTTGGAACTTAGATGAAATAAATACAAAATGTGTTGACATCCAGTGTTTACCAATAAGAAATCTGTTGTAACCTATTGTAGAACATGAAGCTTATGAAAGCCACTTTGATTTACTATTATTACATATCCAAGTCCTATCTCATCCCTGTAACTTGTACGCAGTCCTAATACATTAATTTTACAATAGTCAAAATGTATCTGACGTCTCAAATGAATTAAAAGTGGTGAATTTGCGTAAAACGCATAGCGAGTTTCCTACACTACTAATGTTTAACAAAATTATGAGCGTGTGATCTGTTTTTCATCCATTACACATTTCAAGAGTTTGTAAGTACACCAGCAGTAACCCATCAAGAATCCGTACTGTTAATAACATGGAGCTTGGAGGTTGCATGGCATAATAACAAGGAGCTACATGGAGGTGGCATCACCATATTTCGCCATGTTCCGCAAGTGAAGCCATTCCGCCATATTGGTGTGCCCAAAACAAGTCTCTCAAACACGATAATAAATGGGTAGGACCCATTTTCAATGGAATTTAATTGTCTACGGAATATAGAAAAGTATAATAAATAAAACAAAGAAGCTTCATTACAAATTCTTCGGTCACTGTAAAGTAGTTTCAGTGCGTTAAAAAACAATATAACATCAAACATAAAACGTCAAAAATAGTGTATTACTAAATGTGTATCTTTTGCTGTTGAGATCTTTCACATAAATTATGCAAATGAATAAAAATGACTTAACACTACTAACATTCTGCAAAAGCATGTGATGCACAAATTCTTACGAAATATTCTTAGAATTAGTGTTGTCATAATATTCGAAAAACAGGCCACCATACTGACTATATTTAAAAAAATAACACATTGTCTTTCTGTACTGTTACTTTTTTATTTCACCATTTCCTTTCATAAATATTACGAACTCTCTTCTGAACTCAAAAGAACAGGTCCTAAAGTTTAGTTTGTAGATGTGCAAAACATTCGGGTTTATTTGGAGAATACGTCAAAAATAATGTCAATTACCCTTTGGAGGCCTATTCAGTGAATAATTATTCCTACACAATTCACTTCTGAGATAGAAATGTGTGGCAAAAAAAGCCTCTAAAATTTTTGGAACAGCGAGTCACCACACACGTACGTATCATGAAGTTATATTAAAATTATTTTCTTGAAAATAACTTGCTGAATGAACTAGGTGGCCTCTTGTCTTTTCCCGCTATTGATCCTCAGTGCTCTCCTCTTTGGTATGAAGAGAAAAATCACGAAAATTAACCAATATCTTCAAACCACAGAGAGTAACTTATTACTTGTGGAAAGTTTTCCGAACCTTTCGCGAATGATTTGTTCAACAATAAGTCACACAAGTGACCACGACGACGAACTGTTACGAAAGTAGTTGATCTGATTTAGCCTTTTAAAGAATTAAAACTATGAGAAATAAAACACCTCAACCTCAAATCGATGACATCTGCAAGTGTTTTGGGAACAACAATATGGCGGATCGTTGCTTCAGGTGGTTTCAAGTTTGTGACGTCATTCCATCTTCCTGTATTCCTAGCTCCACGAATAATAAACACAAAATGCAGTGCGAGTTGTTTTTATTTATTTCAAGATTTCTTTTGTTACTAATTTTCTCCGTCAATCTGGTCTGAAAAATAACTTTTATTAATATCAACTTTAATCTACACATTTACTTGGAGTTGGGACAAAGAAGGGTTCTTATAGAACATTCGCTCGCGACCACGCAGGAAATTATGTTATAGATTAGATTGTAGTATTCAAGTTTTTAGTTGAATTTGGATAAGTGGAGTGTTAGATTTGGATTAAAAGTTATTAGATGGAAATTAAGCATTGCATTTGCTAATAAATATACTATAAATAGAATTTTCATTAAAAACTCGGATTTTGAGAATTATTCGAGTATTTCTAAGACTCTTTTCTGCACCTTTTTTATTTATGATATTTTTTTGTTATTTATGCTCGCATCAACATTTAGGTCATTAACGACCACTATTGCATTTAACACTCGAACCGTGCCCGACGTGCCAATTTTGTTCCATTCCATTTTTCCATTTGCTTATATCTATTAGACATTTAACTTGGAAACACAATGCGTCTTTGACTTTTTCGCATTCTCTAAGGCGCGGGGAGAAAGAGAAAGCATGGATGACGTGAAATTCGTAAGGAGAACGTTTAATTTTGTCCAGGCAGCGAACTCTCTTGTCTGATGAGAACACATAAGGCGTGCATAAAAGTTCTTGTCGCAGTTTCTGCTAATGCTCTCCCAATCATCTAAGCAATATTTCGCAGCCTCAACACATTGATATGCTTAAATTCACTGACCGAAGTCAAGAGTAGTTACATTTCATTTCTCTTCTTCCATTCTTCCTTCACAAACATCACTTTCATCAATAGAAGGCTCTTTGTCAGCTGCCCAGTCGGACCCGCATTCTTCTGACCCGTTCGAATCTTCTTTATTTATCTCTCGTAACTGAGACGCGATGTTTTGATTTTACGACATACTTGCTGCGGTTCGCTAAAGGGAATGACAGCGTGGTTTGATCGGTCGATTTTGCAAGATTTCAGGGTCAAGAAACGGAGATGCGGTGGTTGCCGGAAACAAATACAATATACAACTAACGGAAACCAAGATAAAATTATTGGCACCAGATTTGCAATTATTAATGATGTCTTATCAAAAGAGTGAAGTCAAGAATGCATTTAGAACTGATAGAGACGGTAATTTTCACACTGATTATCCATATGGACGAAAGTCGTGGCATATTCACAACGGGACAAATTGGCACAATGGCGGTTCTAGTTAGAACATGCTTCTTCTACGACACTAAAAACCCTCTGAGTTGAAACATTTTCTAGACATTACATCTGACAATAGTAAATCTTTCGTCGCGGCCGCCCATGAGGTAGTGCAACCTCTTGGTGATTTTACGAAGCAGTTGAAAGACTATTTGAAGGAGCTTTGTAAAAAAATATTTTTTTGTCAATTGGGAAAGAATTCGCGCGGTTTTTGGCCGACATTCGAAGGTGGGAAGTTTGAAATGTATGATCTTTCCTTCTTAAATGCCTTCAAAGAGTAGCGAAATTGAGATGTTCGAAGCGTGGCGCCAAATTTGAATTAATTTGGCTACCAATGTACCAACAACAGGTAATTATCAATTTATTCAACCTCGAGAGTACTTAGATGATCAAACGTCTCATGAAAATTTAAAAAAAATGTAGGTGATAACGTTTTCATATTTCCTCCTTCACTTTCTATTCCGAAAGTCATTCTGCGGCTTTGAAAGCACGTGGTGGTTACAGTAGATCAGCAACAAGAAAAAGCCAATAAGAAAAGTCATTCGCAGCATCACATTGAAAAACAGAAGCACATGTCTCAAAGATTCAATTTTGGTCGCGGGAACAGAAGTGGAAACACTGACGGTACCAAGTGGAGTGTCGCTGGTTCAGGTGAGCTCTCAGCAGGTATGCGTGCTCTGCAAAATGGAGTTCGAGAGAATATGAGACCGTTTCCTGACGTTAAGTGTATAATTTTTGCTCAAAAAGTCTCGAGTGCGTAGAAACGGATAATTAAGGAAGCAGTTTGGAAGACATAAAACCTTGCACAGATGTCGAAGCTCGCAGAGTTCAGAATTATCAGTGCTCTGTAACTCTAGAAGAACTTGAAAGTTGTATCGCTATTCTGCATATTCGCGGGGCAATTGCGATGGAAATAGAGTTGATATTGTCGGAAGAATTTTCAGTGAAAGTGGCCTCCCTATTCACTTTACAACATACTGGACTTGGCAGACATACTACATTCCTGGACGATTCATTGAAAGGTGGCCAGCAAGAAAATTTCTCGTCGTGATTTTCTGTTGCGTTCTGAAAAAAATAGTTGTAACTTTGCAAATAAAGTAAATTGTTCTTCCCATAGAAATTCTTGATTCTTTTTTAGTCAGTACTAAGCGACGGCGACGTCAATTACCTAAAAACTGCAGTGAAGAGAGAAGCCCAAATATCGACATTGTGTGTAAGAATACAATTTGTTAATATGCTCAGGTGGAGATACCCATTTTTGTTGTGATTATTGTAAATGAATAGTATGAGCAATTATTCAAAGTAACAATTTAATTGCATCTAAAACACTTGTGGATTTAGTATTCGCGTATCAACAACCGATCACAACCAACATTGTAAGCATGAATGTGTGTAAGAATATTACTTAGTTTAAATAAAATTGGTAATTGAAATTAATGTAATATTATTTCTAAAGTGCAGTATCTTGTTTAATATTTACCTCAATAAACTAACATTCACTGTTTCCCAATATACTGAGCTATATATACACCACAGTGCACAAGAAACTTCATGGCGCATTTTTACCCCGCATGTCTAGAGTACGCGATATTCGGCGGTTCTAGTGTTTACGGTACGGTAACTGTGAAGATGTCATGATATGAAAGTGGAGGGGGAAAGAACCAACAAATACAACCATGACCGAGGCGGGACTCGAACCCGCGATCCTTCGGTCCGAGATCGCTAAGGCACTGCTACCTTGTCTCGGCCCAATCTCGGTTATCCGGACCGGCGTAGATATTTTGTTCTACGCAGCTATTAGACTTTGTGACATTACACAAACAGTAAGTTAATAATCTTATGAAATGCAAAAATTAGCCTGAGACTGAAGGGACACGATATGCTGAGGGGGGACAGACGAACATCGGCAACTGACCGGCAAGTAGATGCAACACGATTTTTGACGGCTGCAGGATACACCACCAAAGGACACGAGCGAAAGTTCGATTTTCGTGCAAATGAAAACAGAACTATTTTCCATAAATACTTTAAAGATGAGCGTTGCAACACCGTAGCACATTAACACCAGCTGCTTCAGAAAAAGGGCAACAATTAATTCTTGAACAGAAAGATCTCTTATGCGACTGGTCACAACTGGCACGTACATTGAGTGTCGAAGCTGCACTGTGACGTACGTTAGCCCATTAATAAACAATTACTACGAACAACTCCGAGCGTGTAAAAAACTCTCACATTTAGGAAACTTCTTCTGTAACAACCCATTAGGTGGTTGGTGTGTGACGGAACTAGACGAACCGAAACAGCAGTCATCTTGCAGCGAAAAAGACCTTTCTGAGTGAAACCTCAGGGCATTCGACCCATGTAGTGAGCCAGGGTGAACCCTGATACGACATCGCGCTGAAAAGACCGACCTCGGGCACCACCTTCCCGAAGACATCAGCTGTCTGGGATAGACTGAACAATTGATGATTTTGGTTTTCGAGCGCAACTACTATTGTTATTAATCCCCCAAAATACAAGCTCACGACAGGTCTCCCGACATATACAGTAGTATAGTGCGTGCGTGTGTGAATAAAAGGGGAGAAATAGGGTAAAAATAAGGAAAAAAGGATCGTGCGTGTTTTGTGACCCATTTTGAAGTTACTGCTCCGGTATTAGCCTATTTTTGATCGAATAAATCACGAAAAACTATCGATCAGCACAACTGGTTGCTAGAGTTCGCCTCTTGACAACGTCTGAATTTGACCAACAATGTAGTTAGTGTGCTCGGCTAATTCAGCTGGTAATTACCTGAGAAATCATTGAAAACTAGTATTTGACATGAATCAGAGTCTCGAGTGCACGTAATGAGACTTTTATATAATATATTTATAACAGTATATTTAGGGTTGGGGCAGAAGTCATGGCAAATTTTTTAAGGGGACCCGGGACTTGTTTGCTAAGCTGTAATAGCATAAATATATTTTCTCGCTTTCTAATTGACTTGTTTAGAATTTATTCTGTATTTAGAGTGCATCTTTATTGAGATTTTGACATTTTTTGTTTAATTATTTTGCGATATGCCCAAGAGAAAAAAATGTTTGAATGATCATATGTGTTAAGTTTGCAAAATTGATAGTTCAAATACGTATAGTAATATTTAAAAACTGAATATCAAAATAACATGTCAAAATGAGCAATAGTGAATGTTTGAATAAGCTTGAAAGTTTCAATTAAATTGGTCGACTGGTTTCTGAGAAAATGTTACCTATGTAGCAAAAAAAATGTACTTTGCAGAAAAAGAAGAAAAACAATAATTTTAGTTTCAACCTTATTTTGTTACATTCAATTGCTACTTTGTTCAATTGTTTCAATGTTGATGATAACACACTCAAAAATAAACAAAATACATTGTTTAAAAAATTCCCATCCGTACCAAAACTCAAAATATTTATAAAACACTGAAAATGTAGCTCGGCAAGGTAATACGGTAGCTCGTCAGGCTATGGAACACGAACATCCTGATCATAAACGTTTACAATTTTGTAAAAATAGTTTTAAAAGCTCAAACAAGCAAAATATGTATATTTTCTGACCGAGGAAAAAGCAATTTACAAAGGAAGAAACTTTTGAACTCTCGGGTCCCTTTTTTTGTTTCATTTCATTGCTATATTGTTCAATTGTTACAATGATGATGGCAACACACACAAAAATAAAAACAAAATTCATTACTTAAAAAAACTCCCTGCCTAACAGGTCTCAAAATATTTATAACGAAGTGAAAGCTGAACACGGTAAGGGGAGAGAACGTCAGGCTAAGTACCACGAACATGACTACCACCCTGACAATGAACGTTTAAAAATTCGTAAAAAATATTTTGAAAGCTCCAACAAGCAAAATATGTATACTTCCTGACAGAGGAAACACAGGGCAATAGAATAGAAGAAAAAGAAGCGATTTTGTAAAAAGAAAGTTTTTTGAACTCCCGGGCCCCTTTAAAGAAATGTTATCGGATAACACAATTTTCATTGTCACGTGAAATAATAAATAATGTGTGTATTAATGTGTGATCACAACAGAAGGCTCTGCGAGTGTCTCGAAGGATCTGCGATTAGCAAAGAGAGCAATGTAAATTCAGTTGTCTCACTACTGCTGTACGAGATAAATGTAACCCGTTTCGAGCAGCGCTTGGACACAAATATAATCGTTCTATGTGGAAAAAAAATTCCAAAAATGACACAGGGAATTGGTGGAAGATCTTGAGAATAACGTTCTTCCATGTTGGACAGTCGCGAGATGGACAGGAGAGTTTCTGTCAAGACTAGTAACAACCAGTAATCAGCAACGCAAGTGAAGATCTGTCAGTGCACGGACGGATGTGGCACGTGCAGAAATAGAGCATCTACCTAATAGTCTTTAGAACGAGTATTTAATGCATTTGGAATGTTGTGAACTCGTATATTCTAAAACGCTTTAGATCTTGAAACTAGCACTCTCATTTCAAATAGCTTAATGTTTACGAAAACGCAATTTTGGTGGGATGTTAAATGTCCCTGCTTCATACATTGTCCTTTCATTTGTATATTTCACATTTTCCACCAACCCTCATATATTTACAAAAGAAAAAAGTTGACAAGAATTACGCTCCAACCCTCGTATAATATAACATATACGAAATATGAGGAGTCCCACCAACTAAGGGCAACCCAAATTACTTCTAAACAGTTTACGATATCGAAATGCATTTTGTGCTGAACAATGCAGAATGTAAGTGTAGAGATATTGTTCGAAATATATTTAGTTTTCCAGAAATTTATTAATTTTTAATTTATAATTGGAACTATATTTTTCTCACTAGAAATCATAAAAAGAATAATACAATGATGTTTCATTTGTTAATGTTTTGATAGAAGTTTGACTATAAAATAATACTTTATAACTTTTAATTTTAAATTAAATCAACAAAAGTTTGTAATAGCCCTTGCTCCTGTCAATTTGTCAAAGGGAGTGGGCAGTATGGGTTTAGGCGCAATTACAGCAATTAGTGGTCTTGAGTAGAAGGACAAATGAACAAACATTAATATTAAACGATCAGTATGAAAGACATTGCCACTGATTCATTCTGAATGAACTTTTATTTCACTGATTGAAATCCAAAGCATCGATCATTGAATTGAACGAAATAAATAAATTGGTAGTATAAGGTAGATACTTAGAAAAGTCATATTCTAATTGAACAAGAATTGAGATTAGTGTTTAATGGCTGTAAAAATAAGTTTGTTATTATTTATGGTCACTCAACTTCTTTATGAAAATTTACAAAAATAAAATGACTTTGATAACTATAGAACGAAGGAAAACAAATATGTATTTAAATTATTTACTCTTAAGCTCTGAGAATCCCACCGAAGCAATGTGCATCTGTAGTCGTGTATGCAGATGGCAAAATAGTTGATGAGGAAATGGGTGTGGGAAGATCTAAATATTTGATGAAGTGGTAAACTAAATAATATACAAGCAGTCACACGAAAGAAGCACAGGATAGAGTACATGGAAAACATCTAGGCCTGAGCTGTATCAACACAGGTTCACGATGAAAAAGAAGAATTACTCAGACTGCGCTTTACCATTTCATCCTAACAGATTAGGAACTAATATTACCTTGCCTTGAATGTTAACTTGAAAAAGATTAATGGACAAAATAACAGAATATACGTGTATTAGTACTTTTAACTCTTACATTGCATATAGTCTTACAAACCATTAAAATAACATCACTTATGTTCAATGGGGTCAATTTAGGAATTTTTACTAACGACTTCTAGAATTATTTGCTTCTTGTTCATTAAAATCTCTATTTGTGGAAATAATTACACTTATCTTGTTTTACATCTTTAATTTTCAATTTATTCACTTTGTCTTCTCAAGGGAATTTCAGTACTTGCATGAGAAATACTTGGCAGTTTGCGGCTTTCATTTCAGTAATGAGTGACCCTTAGCTCACTAATTTCAGAATAAAAGAGTTTAATTTGTTCAGAAGGTTAAATATGCCTATTATTAGTTAGTAACATAGTGGTCTAGTATATGTGTTTCGCCATGTTAACAAAAATGTGTATCTTCTCTTGTAGGTGCACAATGATGAACTACTCTCGTGGTTGTTTTTGTATGTTACTGAAACAAATATAATAATATATTACTCACGACGAGAAAATTTTTTGAAACGAATAAAATACATCACGGGTTACTTCATCGCTCGTATGACTACACGATCCTTTTGTAAAGCATCTCTTTATACAATGTTTCATAACGGACGCTCATTTAACCCTGCACATGCAGGCTGGTTTTGTGAGACCCCAGAATGAATTTTTGGGTTGTTTTCTCGAAAAGCTTGCTACTTTTCGAGTTTCTGTTCCATTAATATCAACTTAGTATTTCTGTTGTTAATTTGTTGAATTTTAATTGTGCTAGTTAAGTTATTTTTTATGGTGAATGAACGTGACACATCGTGTGATAGAGTAGTGCAATTTCTTTCTAACTGAAAAAGACTAGGAAATACGAAATAAAAGTTCTATACTATGTGGAAGATCTGAGTGTGGTGAACACGGAGCATAATTCTGAATGCTGCCTGTGAGAATCATAAACAATACATGCAAATATTGCATTTTTATATACGTCTTGCCAAAAAATAGATACATACACTTATGTGAATTTAATCAATAACATTTATTATTACATCAATAAAATCTGTTGAAAATACATTAACGAAATTCAAAAGAGGACAGCATCATTTTACAAACAGACTTTTATAAAATCTACATTTTATTAAACAGATGTATATTTACCGAGGTCGTACAGACCCCATAAATGTTGCTTGACTATGCGCACGTTTTGTTGAGCTCCCCTTTGCTTGTGGTGGTACGTAGGAGCAGAAGTAAGGATGAGTTACTAATTTGTTAGCATTGCACAAAAATCAAATCTGCAGTTCGTTTACTGCATCAAATAAATGTTCTATAACTCAGGAACGAGAATGTCTATTTTTCAAATGTGGATAATCTTGCGCTTTTGTAAAATGTATTATTTATTTTGTTTGTTTTATTTTTTAAACGTTTACTCACCTTTCAACTATTTATGGTTACAATGTTGGGAAAGAATCCTGGAACTCAAGAAAACGTGCGCAGATGATCTTCTTCCCCATTCATTTTTTAGGTTTTTTTTTTGTCTCAATAAATCAAATCAAAACCCCGGTGCATAGTTTCCGTTGAGGGTCAAGAGTCCAGTGGCATTGCCAAGTCCGCAGAAGTCCTCAGTCCTCGGGGAAGAGCAGGCGCGTGGGGTAGGAGGCGAGGATCTTGGCCACGAGGTCCTGCAGCGCGTCCTGCAGCGAGCGCTGCAGCGCCGGCCGCAGCTCCTGCAGCACCTTGGGGAAGTGCGCGTTCACCGCCGCGTTCACCACCTCACCTGCAGAAGCGCGCGCGTCAAGGCAGGCCACGGCAGCACTCGAGGCAGGGCGCGGTCGCTAGCGGAAAACCTTCAAAGGCACTCTTAGGTCGAACAAGGAAAATTAAGAATTAAAAAAGAAAATAGCGGCAAAAATTAGGGGTCTTAGTGAAGGAGCGGATTTTAATGAAATGTCATGTTTTTTTTTCTTTTCACTTTACCGCAATGTCTTTTATTATAGACATTAATTTTACGTCAAGACGAAAGGAAATGAGCAATTTTTATATGACATTTGTATTTGCATTTTCGGTCGATTTCGACTAATACTCCATTTTTACCTTTTCTCGTCATTTTTAAAGTATTTTTCACTGTATCCGTTGATTTTAATATTTTAATGGCACTTGCTTCACACAATATTCACGAGGTGCAACAAATGTTTACCACAGAATGCCTGAGTAGCCTCTTCGATTTATTCGCTCATATATTGTAATATCATTACAATACGTATTGTGAGTATGTAATCTAATGTTCCTTAGACGCCAGTAAGCGCCATTGTCGCTTCGGCCGCTTCGAGATAAATAAAGGCAGAGATTTTCTTTTAAAAAACATTCCAAACCGAACGTTGCCAAGGTGAGTTCACTTGAATAATAAGGAGCCTCGATTATATCAGTAACATATCCAACAGATTGAGTTGTTAATCTTAAGTGATTTTGGACAAATTTTTCATTGTTCGTCATTTTTCTTTGTTTTTACCTACAAGGAGAGAAAGGAAAGATCGCGCACTGATTACGATCCGTTTGTTACTGCTCCACCATTCACCGAGTATTGATATGAGAAACTTCAGAAAACAACAGATCAAAGTAGCCGGCAGTTAGAATTCTCCTGTAAATAACGGCTTAATTCGTTCTAGCGCTCTAAACTTATGCCGAAAATCCTGCCATCGTTGGGACTCTAAGCATAGAACATCCTGTTTAGAAGCACTGCAATGACATCAATTGATGCCCTGACCCACCATTTTATTATATATCAATCAATACCTAGGCACTGAATGTGTTTGTATCGACAATGCATTTTGTTTGTTTTATTTACTTGGCATTTGCATGAAGAATTATAAAACGTTATATATTATTGAACTTTGGAAGCATTTTTGCGTCAAATTTTCTTAACAAATCCCATCATAGCACTCACAGGAACATCACACAAAAGTACCATCAGAATGCACGATCAAGAACTTAGATGAACATCCAACGATTTGCAGGCTCTACGCGTTTTAAAATATAAACCGACAAGGAAAAAACAACAACGCAAGTCATGACGACAATATTCACGATGTTCAATATTCAGTAATATTCACAAACTTCTCTTCATGACCATTCTTTCCTATCAGCTCGTAAACGCACGAGGCCAGACAATGGAAAATGGAAAGGGACGAGGACAGCACGAAGCGCAGTTTGAATGGATTCTTTTATCTTGAAACATGCTAACATACTGTTCGACAACGATGTTCATTTACATAAAAATGCGTTGGAAATGTTGCATTGAACATATTAGGTTGTTTTACGCGCACGGCAAAGGCCGAAGACCTGAGCCTCGACCCTCGTTCGGAAATGTGTAGCTACATGTCTGGTCGCTGAAGGTTCTTTTAATTAAAATTAAATGTTGCTCAGACTTCATTTGTACATATTGCATCATTTGTACATACTCAACGTTCCTTATCGTTCGAACGTTGCTTTGGTCGTCCTGTTTTCATTAATGTGGGATCAATCAGAAATTAATTCACTCAGAAATTAACATACTTCACTGTATATGACTATTTTCGTGAAGTGATCATAGAGTTCGGTACACTCTTAGAAAAGAGTGATATGAGGGGGCGGAGGAGGAGTACGGGAGAGGAGTACGATGGGGGGAGGAGAAGAAATTGGGTACTGTGGGGTGGGAGATGCGAAGGCGTGGGTGTCTCCTGGTGTACTCACCGTTATTTTACGAAAACCCAAACACATGCTGCACGGGGTTCTTTTGAACATCTCCAATAAATTGCCTTGCCTATCCGTACCCAAGTGAAATATCTGCATACTCTATTATTAACTCGCTTTACACACAGAACTTCTCTTCTATTTTTATGCCAAACTACTTTCACGGACAGCATGAAGCTTCACGAAACACTTTCCAAGTTAGTGGCGAGTCTGAAACGTTTGGCCATCACGATTAACATAAAAATCCTCGAGTCTATGCAACGCACAATAACCAAAGCATTTTAAACACAAATACTTTTAGAAAAGATTACCTAAACCACTCGTGGGATTGTACACACAAATATCTTTTTGTTGTTTTGAAAAGTCCTAACCGTGTCACTTCATCTTAGCCCAATTATACCCATCTACACGGTTCGTTGCATTTCACTACATAAAGACCCGTTTAAAATTTTCGTAACGCTTCTCAATAAACACACATAGGCAAAAGGTCACTGAAAATGGGTGGTGGGATGAGTGGTGCTTCAGTCCACTTTTTCACAGAGCCAATGAATCACTGGTTTCTGGGAAGAGTTTTAAAACCACGTAGGTCTGTTTGGAGTAGTTTCACAGTAGAGAATAAAAACTTTAAAGATAATATGTGTCTTCATATTGTTTGTCCGTTTAACAAATGATTCCTTTTTACCTGTAAAAGTGTACATAATAATAATTTAAGATATTTCATTCCCCGTTTCATGATTTTATTATTCATTAAGTCGTAAATCAGTCACAACAGTTTTTATAACTTCCATATCTCCGGTGTTCCTTTGTGCGGTTATAGAATATAATATTGTTTGTGCCCATATTTCTGAGAATAAATTTGCATGATTTTAGAACATGATAGGCAATCGGTTAGCGACTCATAAAATATTTAAGTATGATTTTTTTACAGAAATGAGACAGGTTTTAAAATCTGTGCATTCAAAACGTTAAGAGGCTGAAATCTAGTATACGGTACAACCTACGGAAGTATTTAAACTGGCAATTCGCGCCGCTCCGGCGGCAACTGCGCAGTTTGAATTCTGGAGGCTTTCTAAAAAAGTGTTTTGTTATGAATTGGTAAGTATGCGGTGGATAGACTAGAGGATGTTTATAGTGAATCCAAGGGCTGAAGCCACGAGCCTCGCCGTGACAGACTCGTGTGAGCGAAGCGAGGAAAGTTGCTTCGAAAGTAAATTGGCATTACAATGCGACGAGGACAAAGCGGATGAAGGACGAGCCATAAAAATCGCATATCCCTAAGTTTTATTCAATTCTATCTGTGCGCGTAGTCTAACTTAAAGGAGGGCTTAAGGCGATTCCTCCCCGCAGCCATGCTTCTCTGGTGGTGTACTTTAACCAAGTTAGTCAATTTCAGTTGCAAACTTATCAATATGAACTATAAGTCAGCAAATTAAAATAATTTTATAGTCAGCATAAGAAAAATATTCATTACAAGAAAATAGCAACTTGGCAGACAATATGCGTATAGACTTCCAAACGTTTTACGGGCTTCGTTGATATAGCCCTGTGTGGAGGAAGAAACAATGGATGTATCATGGAGCAAGAGTTTCGAAGGCAGAGAAGTTCTCACCGAGCATTGGGTCTCCCCCGAAGAGGTTGTCCAGGCGCACCGATGCCTGACGCACCTCCTGCACCAGCACCTGCAGCTCCTTCAGCGCCAGGAAGCTCTCCCCGTCACGATCCTCCGCCTCCGTCATCAGCACCACCTCCGCGTCCACGTCCGCTGCGCACATCACCACCGTTCACCATCCACCAGGGGCCCTAATACCTCCATCATACACGTAGGTGGGACCAATACAGTCGGCAGCGCTCTGCTGCATCACCTTCTTTACATGAACTTAAAACACGATACTGCTGCCCACAGTACTTGAAAGCGTGCACTGGATACTGGCGTGACGTTCGCGGGTCGCAAGCAGCAGCCCATAATGTCACAAAAATAACGTCTTATCGGCATTATTCAGAGGCTTTTCGAATAAGTATCAGATTATGAATAAATAGTACATTTATAAGACACTTTTCGTATTTCTCCACAAATTAGCCTTTGGTATGTGGAAAGTTTGGCGAGCTTAACCGCCGACGCAGCTGCACTGCCGGCGACACTAGCGCCTTCCTATAGTACAGCAACCTCGAGCTTGTGTCCCCAGTTTTGATGGAGGAGTTGCCGCGGCCCTGATCACACCATCCCTCTCGAGTAGGAGCCAGGGAACCTCCGAAGCTTCAGCACCGCCCATACACCAGGCCCTGTCAACTTCCATATTGAATTACGTTCTTCACGGCGTACTTGCAGGCGGCGCGCTCTATTCTTCACCTTGTTTGAAGGAACTAAAGACAGGCTGCCAACGTATTGAGAAGGCGCGTGGCAGCTTCTTGGCTTGCCCCCACAGTTTTCTCAATTACTGCCTTGCGTGGCACAAGAGGCCATATTTCGGGCTTTTTTCTTATATCTTTTTTTTGTGGGGGGGGCGGCGGGGAGAAGGCGGGGGAGCGGGGGGGGGGCGGGGGGCGGGGCAAAGGGGGCGCGCGGGGCAGGGGGGGGGTGTCCCCCCCCCCCCCCCCCCCACCCCCCCCCCCCCCGGGGGGGGGGGGCCGGGGGGGGGGGGCGCCTACAATGATGGCGTTTTGCCCCCGCCGCCCCATTCTCACTCCCTACCCTCGTCCCCCGGCCGATACGGCCACCCACAACCCCCCCCCACCCCCCCCCCAAAAACTTGTTTTGGGGGGCGGGCGGGGCGGGGGGGCGGAGATTTATGCGGCCAGTCTTTTCTTCTTCTTCTTTCTCTCTTCTTCTTCTTCTTCTTCTTCTTCTTCTTCTCTTCTTCTCTTCTTCGTTCTTCTTCTTCCTTTTATTATTATTATTCATTATTATTATTATTTATTATTATTTATTATTATTATTATTATTATTAGATTCATTCATCGTCTATATAAAAGCGCATACTTCGAATTTGGCATTTACAAAGTGGGCGAGCGTTAAGGGAAAGCCGCAGGGGGTGACACTAGCCCATCAAATTCTTTCATCTGCAATTTTACACAATACAATCGCTTCAGTTCATATCATTCATAGGCCGAGTCAATGATTTTAAAGTTTTAGATCGACTCTTCTTAACTGAGTGCGGTTACAGTGTCTCTGTGGAACACAAGCAGAAGTAATTTGGAACTCATTGACCAAGGAGAGTGTAGTACGATACTGAGACATTTCATATGACACTCAGAATAGCAAGTGCTCAAAAATAACTAATACAAATTTAATCATCACTTAATTGGTATTATACGTGGACATTTTCTTCAGTCATCAAAATATACTCCCCTTCATTCTCTGGCATCCAGCGAAATGAGAGCTCAATATATCGAGCGCGGATAGTATACGCGATTTACGCGCACAAGGAATATTCCGTACCTTCAGGTGATGGCAGTGATTGTATATGTTTCTTTGGCAACTAAAATTTACCCTAAACTTAGGATTGCTTAGAGCGATGGTTACGACACCCTGAAACTCCATAACTCCGTAACCTCACCAACTGCTTACTTTACAACTCAACTTTACTCCTCATCCTAAGAAGGTGTCGTAGTCACCACTACCACAATTAGGATAATGCCTGCTTAAAATTCTATTAGACTTCTCGCCCACCCGAGTACAAAAGTCGCGATTTCAAACTCGCAAACTCCCCTGTTGGTGTCTCTGGATATCGAAATGCGGCTGGTATGCGACAGTCCTAGTTATTAACATTATTAAGCCGATAAAAGGCAAATACTAACAGAATGTTATCGGTCGTGCGTCGTTCAATATTTTTCGTAATACCAATTTGTTATAAGAAACTAATATAAACAAACACGAAATAGTAATCATTGGAATACGTGGACTCATACTCCATTTTCAGTTGCAACTCACTTGTTTCGATTGTTCTAAACGGACGGTGGAGTGTTAAATCCTTAACAAACGCCGGCAGTGAAGAACGGCATTTCCTTCCTGTTTGATTGTGTTAATTCAACGTTATAACGGCACAGCATTAAAGAAAAATATGTGGTACTACGTAAAAGTTTGCGTTAAACACTTCAAACACCCAGAAGGGGGGGGAATTCCAAGACGTCTCGTTGAGTCGGCCATACGACGTAGCGTACTCACTGGCTTGATTGATTGATTGATTGGCTAGTGACTCCGAGCGTGTCATCTGCTAAGGTTTTGCAGGTGTGTCGCAGATGTTTTGCATATGTGTTCGTCATACATGATTTTATCGCGGGAGGTAGCGGTGCTTCCCCCCCCTCCCCCCCCCCCCGCTGGATGAGACGACTACACGTCGGCTTGCGAAGTTTTCCGCACCAGCGGGGCCCCGCCCCAGCGGAAAGGTCTGTTTTAAGCTCCCGACTCCCGGTGTGTATAGCGGTGAAGTGTATGGCTGTGTGTGTGTGTGTGTGTGTGTAAGTGAGGGGTGAGAATAGGGCAAGGTAAGATTGCACGCGGTGCGTTGCTCCTTTGATAGGGAAGTACTTCGGCATGCGCCTGGTGTTGGTCAGAAGAAACACGGAAATATATTGATGAGAGCAGTCGTACGCGAGAATCTTCTCCAGTTAACCTTTCGAACCCATTATTAACAGACAATTTATTCTTCAATCTCCTTGCTACAACGTTTCGAATCTCATGATTTTTTATTCTTCGTCAAGTAGTTTACACTATACAAGCAGAACAAATGATTATCCTTATGTCAATAAGCCATTACAATAGATTTTTATATAAATTAGCCATTACAAATAAAATTATTCTTCAGAAAAATTACCATCCCGGTATCAGTCAGCTTGGTTAAAATGTCAAATGGACATGTTGGATTCATCCAAAATTTACAACTGAGTCCATAGTATTTTGCGGCGAGGTGGATACACCGTTTATCTGTGTGAAACTGATCAATAGTACGACTTTATGGATAACAGTGTAGCCAGGTTGCGAATAAGCATCAACCAACTATTGTTTACCTAGGTAGGCTAGTATTACAATCATTGTGTTCTGCTTGTATAGTATAAATTACCTAAAGAAGAATCTAAAACCATGAGATTTGAAACATTGTCGCAAGAAAATTGAAGAATAACTTGTCTCCAAATAATTGGTTCAAGAGGTTAATTATTAACCACAGACATAAACCAATTTGGAATTCTTCTCCATACAGCGGCTTAATTTGCCCTAGCTAGTGTCGAAACCCCTGGCAGCGTCGGGACTCCAGCTGTAGGACCTTCGGGTCAGAGGCACTGCAGGAGCATCAATCGCTTCCCTGAGCCGGAGTACTCACTGGCGTTGAGGTTGAGCGGGCCCGTGCCGTGCATGGGCATGGTGAGCAGCTGGCCGTCGGCGGTGTAGGTGGCGCGGACGTGGAGACGCGGGAACGACAGCCGCAGCCGGAACTCCGTCTTCCCCTCGTCCACGCTGCAACCATACACACACACGCACCTTCAGCCATCGGGGGGTTCACGAACTTCACGTAACTCCTCTGTAGGGGATGGGGATGGTGTCTGAGTAGGTGGATATGGTCTCTGGTGGAGAGTTATAAACGACCACTCGGACTCATAAGTTTCACGGCGGCACTCACGTCGTTAGTCTCAAGGTGCAGTGAGTAGGCGTGAGTAGTGAGTAGGCAGTGAGTAGGCGATGATAAGCTCCTAGTACCGGTTCAGCACGTTAACCCACTAGTTGGTCTTCTGGTGTGCCGAACTTTGGGCAGCATTGGGGGAAGGATATTCTTCGGAATCCTCTCGAATCCACATATAAATCTCCGGCGAGAAATTACCACCCGTTAGGTTGCATAGGTTCACGGCTGTACTCACTTCGCTAGCCTAAAGGTGTAGGGAGTGAGGAGACGGGACGGGGGACCTGAGCTGCCCGTACCTTAGTACGGGTGACCCACACTCAGGTTTTCGACTTCGTAGTGGCAGTGTCCCGATACTCGGGGCAAACAGAAGGGACTAGTTCCCGACGCATGTGAGTAGCGCTTTGTTTGGACTCCCGTACCAGCCTGGAAAGCTAGTAGCTCTGAGCCTGAAGGGCGGCCTCAACCCAGGCATTGAGCGAGGAGGTTGCCGTGAGGACAAACTGCGTCCCGGCGAAATTCGGACTCTTTGACACTTTGATTTTCTTCATGAGAACACAAATGAAATCAAATTTATAAATAACAATACAAGTCAAATTGATTTGAAATAAATAATAGAGATAACACATTCACATAAACCATCCACTATCGTGTCATTATCACCATTTCCTGATAAACATACACACGCCACTCATTGGTCCTGAACGATTGGTTAAATGGTAATTGAGTTGAATTCAGTCAAGCTCGTCTCCCAAGAACTTTCTCACAATAAGGCAAGTGTCTAGTATCACAGACTTCTGAATTGTAGGATTTCTAAGTTGTTGTTATTATTATTATTATTATTATTATTATTATTATTATTATTATTATTAATAATAATAATAATTATTATTATTATTATTATTATAACACCGTATTATTAAAAGGTAAAAGTTGAAACAATTTATCTAATTTGGTATTAACTTGTTGAGTCACTCAAAATATGATCTTTTTCTTTAACATTAACATTAAATTTAACATTGACATTTTAAATTACCCGTATCTGTATGATTTTGGTTCTAAACTTAAATTGTTACTCGATAGATCTTGTAATATTTTTGTAATTGTTTGCTTTTTGTTGTACTATTATTTTGTTATTGGAAGTCCTTCGAGTGCACAATAAACTATTCTAAATACTCATTTACT